TTCCGATATAATAATGAAGCTAATCGAGGATAGTACTTGTCCATTAGCGCGGGTAAAATGAACGTTAACGTATATATTTTCGAATATAGTAATAATTTTGGTTGCGTTGAATTGCATATTTAGGCAAACAATGTAGTAGCGATGTGAGGAAGCATCAATTAATCCAACACTGGATAATATGATTAATGTGATGTATATTTGAAGCGTAATAAAGGAGAATTTTAAAATTCGCTCGAAATTCAAAGATCTCGAACTCGTAGGAAGAAAATATTAATTGGAAAAGTCGCATTAACTTCGCGACCATTATTACCCTGATCGTCTCGTATTTTCACGTTGAGAAAGATAAAAAATCGGTCATCGGTTGACATAGAAGATGTATATTTGTCTGGCAAACGCACTATTCGCAACAATTACCTCGGAGCCCTTTATTAATTATTTTATACTTTATAAGTTTACACGCGCGTTTTTAAGCATAGATTGGTAATTTTAGTAATTTTCGTCGCAAAAAAGGTTGGTTTATGAGTTATGCGGTTAAAGTTGTGAGTAGTCTACCGTAATAACAATGTAAATTCTCAACTGACGGTCGTATACGCTCGTCACATTTTCTCGTCGATAACTGAATAACGAATAGAGAAGACGACGGCCGGTGCGGTGTTGGTGCCGAGTAGAAGAAAAGTGTCCGCTCGCGAGGCTAATCCAACCACGACTAGCGTCCCAAAGCAAAATATCTCAATAGACAAATAGTGATCGACCGTCGCGAGCGACCCGTCCCATCCAAACTCCCAACGTATTTTCTCATCCATATTGTCGCCCCAGATATGTAAGTGCGAATCATCCCTCGGAAAAAGCAGCTACGGGCGGGGAGAAGAGCTGCGTGATTGATTGCCAGTTTCGCCGATGATACCAGAGGCCAATCCAAACGCACTCGTTGGAGTACATTATCGGGTAATGTAAGCGCATGTAGCGGATACGTGAGTAAGCATGTTCCATTGATTTTGCGGAGGACGCACGCACTCGGCGAGAACCGGGATTGAGTTATTCAGACGCACGTGACTCGGCGGCGCGCGGACGACACCGCCAACGACACGCGCAAGGACGAGGTGGTTAGGATCGATCTACGCTTGCCAAGGACACTCAGTAGATTTACGAAGTTCGCGGTGGATGTCAGGTGAGGGAATAGTCACTTCGTCAATTGCCTGCACGTATGCGCAAGAAACACATCGCTCGTTCCAATTTTTTTTTTTTTTTGTCCATTTTTTTCTTTTTTGCCCCCCCCCCCCCCCCGCCTCCATCCTTCCACTCCCCGCACCCAGCACACCTATCATCGTTCGCGAATTTAGGTATACGGCCTTGCTACATTCGGCGAGCCTCCTTTTCTTTTGGCCTTTTTCGATGCCGCGTAGGCGGTAGTTTTTGTTGTATTTAGCGAGGGCAGGGATTTTCAGGGCAACTAGCAACGCTTGGGCGAGCTTTAAGGGCATCTCCTTTCTTTCCATCGGTAACTCCCGCGGAGGCCAACATTTTCCAAACTCGAGCTTTTCACTATTAAAACACTTTTATTTCTCATTTGGGGTGGATGGAGGGGCGGGGGTGGGGGCGGGGGTGGGGGTGCTGGCTGGTTGGTTGTCTGACTTGTTGACGGTGATCAGATTGTAAGGGTTAAATTCGATTAGAATTTATACCGCCGTTCTCTTATTAAATAGTTCATGAATACACGAAAACCTCGTTGAATTCCGTCTCACTTTCGAACTTTCGACTATTTTTAAAGATAAATGCTTAATTCTTTCTGGGAGGTCGATTATGAAATACGTTAATGCTACACGCTCAAATGATTTTCTTAAAAATCAGTTTTTCATTTCTGGTAAATTTACTCTAATTTTTGTAGTATATTTATCGAATATTTTTGTTTAATATTTTACAACTCGACAATTTTACATCTACTAGT